TTGTGAGGAGAGACCGGTCCTTGGAGAAGGACATCATGCTTGGGAGGGTGGAGGGACAGTGCAGGAGGGGAAGGCCCTCTATGAGGTGGATTGATTCGGTGACTGGGACAATTGGGATGGGAGTGTCAGAGACAGTGCGATTGGCACAGGACAGAGCAGGGTTTAGGGTTGTTGTACATAGGGTCACTATGCGTCGCAAGCGACTTGATGGCACACAACAACAAGAACAACAAGAACAATGAGTCTTAGTCAACTAGATAGCACTTAACAACAACAGTCAAGTTAAGAATCTGACGGATAGCCCCGTAAGAAGATAGGAGACACAGAGACAGGCATTCAGAGAGAAAGACACATGAAGACAGAGACAGATAATAAAATGATACAGGTATAACTAGGAATTCTAAGAACGGTCAACAACTACCACAAGCTAAAAACAGGAAGAATCTCCCTAAAGCTTTTACTGGGATTATGGTCCTGCTCACTCCCCAATTTGAACTTTTATTTTCCAGCCGTGAAAGAAGAAACTGCTGTTTTAACTACCCAATATGTGTAATTTGCTTCAGCAGTTTTACAAATCGAGGATGCTAAGAAATGTGAATGCAAACAAATGACACGATTCAAAACCATCCTGCAATCGAGGGGGAAAACATGTAAAGAAACAGTAATATAATACCTGATAAGTTGTCACAAAATCTGCATATGCTCCAGCAAAAATGTGCTTGACGTGAACATTCCCAAGGTCTTAAAAAAAAAAGGTATAGATTTTCATTTAGAAATTTTAGAAATGAAAAATAGATTTGAGGCATCACTAAGCCAAATAAACTTATTTATTGGCAATTTATACTCCCCAGAATGGATACTGATTGCAAACAGCATAATATATGTTAATTTTTATAAGTAGTGTGTCATATTAATAAGAACTTATTTTAAAATATATCTTTTCATACATTTGCATAAAAATGAAGTCAGACTAACCTGCCTTTTAAAGAATATTGACTGTTATTGTTGTGGTGTGCCGTAGATAGAGTCAGAACCAAGTTATAGCTGACCCTCCAATAGGTTTTCAGAGACAGTTATTTGCATGGGAAGAAATTGTCCATCTTTCTCCCACACAGAAGCTAGTAGATTTAAACTGTGTGCCTTGGGGTTTCAGCTCAGCTTCTTACCACTAGGCCACCAGTGTTATATAAATATTTCAATGCTTAAGAAACGGATTTAGCATCTTCTTTTGCAATACTTTAATCTGTAGAAGTGATTATCAAATATTATAGGAATTATGCGTAAGAAAAGTACACAAAGTATAAATTTAAAAATAAATACCAGAAAAACCTGCCAGTTCCTCTGAAAGGAAGTTGAATAACACATTTCTATTGTAGTTGTTAGGTGCTGTCGAGTCAAATACCCTCTTTAGTGACTATGAACAAAAGATCTGAACCCTGTTCTATCCTGTGCCATCCTCACACTTCCTGAAACATTAGAGCCCATTGTGGCAGTCACTGTGTCAATCCACCAGGTTGAAGGTCTTCCTCTCCTTTGCCGACCCTTTACATTTCTGAGCTTCATGTCCCTCTTCAAGGAACATGCCCAAAGTATGTAAGGTGAATTCTCATCATGTTTGTCTCCAAGAGCACTCTGGCTGCACCCTAAATATTTGTTCTTTTGACTGTCCATAGGAGTACAGTACTCTGCTCCAACACCACGGCTCAAAGGCATCAGTTCTTTTTCTGTCATCCTTATTCATTGTCGAGCTCTCAGATGCATAACAAATTATTAGAAAGACCATGGCCTGAATTAGATGCATCTTAGTCCCCAAACTGATACCTTACTCCTCAATAAGGAGTAAGGATGAGTCATAGGAGAGGTCCATAACTGCAGACATTCTCAGTGTAATATGTCTCCTGATTTCATGACTGTTAGTACCAAGGGTGTTAATTGTGGATCCAAGTAAGATAACGTTCCTGACAGTGTCAATCTTTTCTCCATCTATCATGATGTTACCTATTGGTCCAGTAGTAAGAATCTTTGTTTTCTTGACATTGAGATGCAGTCCATATTGAAGGCTGTATATATTCTTTGATTTTCTGCAACAAGTGTATTGTTCAAGTCCTCCTCACTTTGATTCAGCAAGCAAGGCTATGTCACCTGCATAACATAGGTTACTGATAAGTCTCCCTCTGATCCTGATGTCACATTCCTCTTCATAGAGTCCATCTTCTTGAATAATTTGCTCAGCATAGAGATGGAATAGATATGGAGAAAGAATACAATTCTGATACACTCCCTTCTTAATTTAAAACCATATAGTGCTCTCTTGCTCTGTTCACACAACAGCCTCCTGGTCCAGGTATAGATTTCATATGAGCATAATTAAATGCTCTGGGATTCCTGTTCGTCTCAATGTTAGCCATAATTTGTTATGAGCCACACAGTTAAATGTCTTTATTCAGTCGATAAAACATAAATAGATATTCTTCTGCACTCTTATACCATCTGACATCAGATGACATATTGGTCATGCCATGGCCTCTTCTAAATCCTGCTTGAACTTCTGGCAGTTCCTTATCATCAATGTACTGTTCCAGCTGGTTTTTAATGATATTCAACAGTATTTAGCTTGCATGTGATATTAATAATAATGTTCAATAGTTTCCATACTCTGTTGGAATACCCTTCATGTGTATGGGAACAAATATGGACCTCTTCTAATCTGTTGGTCATACAGCTGTCCTTCAAATTTCCTGGCATAGACTGGTGAGTACATCAGAGCTGCATTTGTTAACTGAAACAAGTCAATTGGTATGTCATCAATTAGTGAAGCCTTATTTTTTACCATGCCTTCAATGTACCTTCTACATCCTCCTTCATTACTATTGGCTCCTGCTCACATGGAACTTCCTGAAAATTTTCACTGTCGGTCATTTCTTTTTGGTACAGTGATTCTGTGTATTCCCTCCATCTTCTTTTGTTAGGTTGTTATGTCTGGTGATAAGAATGTTCTAATTAGTACAGTACAGTTTGCTATACTGAGATAACTTGTGGGCTACTGTAATACTGAAAGCTACAAGGGTTACTCATGGTGGATAGGTTTCAGTAGAGCTTCTAGATTAAGAGAGACTAAAAAGCAAGTTTGGCTATCTACTTCTTAAATAACAGGCCTCAGAAAACCCTATGGACAGGAGAAGAATTGCAGATAGTTATAGTAGTAGTAGAGTCTAGATTGGATGTCAGTTCAAGAGAGGAAAAATAATGGCAAACTATCTTTAATAATTGGAACATGGATTGTACGTAGCATTTCTATTAGTGTTGTCATGTAACACTAAACCATATATTAATAGGACCACTCATACCTTTAGCCGAAATCAGGCAGTTAGCAACAGTGTTCTTTGTCAAGGCATCTGCATGAGCTGAGCTGCTTGTGTTACTGGGTCCATGACCAAAAGATACCACCTTGCAAGTGGTGTAGACATATGCGAGGGTGTGATGACTACAGGAGAGAGAAGACATTGCAATGAAGATGTTTCCTAGCACAAATTAGTGGATTTATCTTATGGTGTGAAAGTACCCAGATGAAAGAGTGAAAGAGCTAGTATGGAGGGTGGGGAGGAAACCAGGAGCTATTAAAATTGTTATGCAAGTATGAATTTTAAAGGTAGAATATTACTTGGTGACAAAAGTCTTTATATGGTCTCTAACTTGTGTTTTAAGTACAATTTTTCTTATAAACAAATTAGGTGGTAATATTAAAAATGTCTTCATAATTAGGTTATATAAAACTCTGAATATATGCAGATATACATTATCTTCAACTTGACTGACATATAGTCCACCAGTTGGTTGTGCAATGGGGGCTTTTATGCTGCTATGCATTTGGAACCTATAATTCAAGTATTTCAGACACAAGCTAAGTCACCTATGGTGAACAGGTTTTAGTGACATTTCCAGGCTGCTATAGACTACGAAGATTGGACGGGTGATCTACTTCCAAATAATTAGCCAATGATGACCTTATGAACTGCAGCAAAACATTGTCTGAGCAACATTTCAATTCATACTTAATGTCAACATGAGCTTACTCTGCAGCAAGCAATAACAGTGTACAATAGTGTTCAATTTTGTCTTAAAAACTCAAATATCTAAGCATCTTTGTTTCTGTAATTAATTCTCTTCCCTATCCCTAACACCCAGTAAAATGATTTACATACAGTAGAATTCCAATTCATTCTTATTAAATAAATGAAACATTTAGGGTAAAGAAAGGGAAACCTGGAAAATTCAGTTATACTTGAAAGAAACAAATATCCATTAGAATAACTTAAAAAATAGCAGCTACATATTTTAGGGTTTAGTAATATTTCATATGAGTATTTAGAGTGATAAAATATAACTCTTCCTTCCCACGGTAAAAGTAACCCTGTAAAATGCACAAATGAAGCACTTACTTAGCTGTTAACTCAAATGTTGTTGCTGTTGTTATCTGCCATTAAGTCACAACTTGCTCATAGCTGACCCTCCTACAGACCAGGTGGTCTACTTCTGAAATGTCACAATGATTGAAAACCCCTCAGAAAACAGTTCTATTCAGAAACAAAAGGTCACTGTGCATCAGCACTGACTTTGCAGCAACTGGTTAATGGTGACCCATGAGAAAGTAATGAAACCTTTTACCTTCCACAATCTATCTGGGAAACTAGGCCATCAATCCCTTCCACAAGTTGTGGGCCACTCTTCTCAGCAGTGGGGCTGTGCCCCAACTGTCCAGAGCGATTGTCTCCAAATGTGAACACTTTGCCATCCTGTTTAAAATAGGAAGGAAATCAGATTCCTCTCAGCCTAACAAGAAATAATTAAAAGCAAAAACATTACGGATCATAGCAAGTTAACATGAGACTGTTATTGGAAATGCAAGTTGTATGTAAGCAGGTTAAAAGACATTGCTGCCGAGCTGGAAGTGAGTCACAGCTGATCCTCTTTGGGTTTTTGGAGGTTGTAAATCACGTGGAGGAGACTGCCCTCTTCCTCCCTCAGAGTGGCTGGTGAATTCAAACTGTCAGAGAAGCACAGCCTGTAGGCCGGAACAAAGCTTCCTACAGATTATGCCACCTATGCAAACAGGTTGTTGTTGTGAGGTTCCGTGGAGTAGACTATACCCCACAGGGACTTTATGAACAGCAGATCCCTATTCTGCTCTGTCCTGTGCCGTCCTCATCATCTCTGATATACTTGAGTTCATTGTTACAGTCACTGTGTCAATCCATCTTGTTTAGAGAATAGGAGAGGTCCTTTACCCTAGTGGCAAGGAACTATGTTGCTAACCCAAAGGCCCGAGGTTCGAATCCACCTGCTGTTCTGTGGAAGAAAGACGGGTAATCTCTTCTCATGTAATTTATAGCCTCTGAAAATCTGCTGGATGGTTAGCTATGAGTAGGTTCCAATTGGATGGCACATAACAACTACAACAAACAAGAATATTGAATATAGAATTAATTCATCAAACATGAATAATCAGCAGCATTCCCTTAAGAATTTAGTGAGACAGGATAGCAGAGATAGATCTTAGGAAGGGTGTCAGGTAACAAGTCAGAGAGCTACATGCAGAGGTCTTTCCCTAATAAAAAAAGCCCACAATCTCTTGCAAGGAATACTTGCTTCCTTTTGTTTTCTAAGCGGAATCTGCTTAAACTGATTCCTTAAGTATCCTCTGACTGCTATATGATCTTCCTCTAGAGGCAGCAAAGAGCATTAAGCTTCAATAAGACCTTACTATTTGCAGAGACCACACCAGTACAAAAATGGTGATTCCCACTAGCCCGTCTTTATGATGGAACCCATCTTAAAAAAGGTAATGCCAGAAAGCCCTGTTCTCCCCAGAGAGTTAGTAAATATGTAAAACTTAGTTCCTATTGTGTGCTGTTGAGTTGGAATCGATCTAGTGTGTGTGTTTTCAGAAGCTTTGAGCTGTGGTGCTGGAGAAGAGTATTGAATATACATACCATGGACTACTAGGAAAACAAAGAAGTTCATTTTAGAGAGTGTGCAAGGCAAGGTTTCTGAAGCTTCATCTGACATATTTTGGACATGTTGTAAGGAGGGACCAGTCCTTGGAGAGGGATATCATACTTGGGAGGGTGGAGGGACAGCACAGGAGAGGAAGACCCTCGATGAGATGAACTGACTCAGTGACTTTAGTAATGTTGGTAGGTGTGTCAGAGACACATTGGCTCAAGATAGAGCAAAGCTCAGAGCTGTTGTACATAGGGTCACTATGAGTCACAAGTGACTTAATGGCATATAATAACAACAACAAACTGCACAGGTGGAGATTACCCATCCTTCTCCTGAAGAGCAGCTGGTTGATTTAAACCATGTGGCTTTGCGATTGCAGTACAGTTCCTTCCTAACGGGGCACCAGAGCTCCCTAGAACTTTATTAGCACTAAGAAAATAATAAATTACTATTGCCTTGTATGCCTTAGCAAAGTGCTTGCTATGAACCACCTTGATTCTCTTCCTTGAACTTTCCCCCTCTCTCCAATAAACTCTATCTATCTGAAAGACAGTCTCTCTGCTCCTCAACCTTGATTAGATTTTTCAGGAACTCTCAAGTCTGAGGAGCCTGCAACATTGGCATGCAAAAAATGCATGTTGAGTGAATAAACGGACACATAAATTGGATCAAGGGTAATGCCTAAATTTATTGAAAATTTATTGAAACATTTTCCTGAATTCAATCTCTTTGGAATGGTAATATGGTGATTAAGTAAAATTCTAGCTTTCTTCTACCAATGAAGACACATAATCCAAAAACTGAGGACTTCTTGATTTTAGGTATGTATTTTAAATAAGTAATAAAATTTATTTGGGGTATATAGTTTTGAAATAGAGCTCACTAATGACAAAGTCCACAGAGAGTTATGCTGTTAAATCAAAGGCCACACCTCTCTGGTAGACTGACTTCACCAGCAGTTCTGTGGGAGAGACAGGCAATCTCATTCCATGAAATTTACAGCCTCTAAAAACCTGCTGGAGGCTTAGCTATGAGTTGGTTCCAATTCTATACAATGAATCTGAGATTTGTGAGAGTTTAAAAATAAACATTTAAAACACACAAATAGTCTTCAAGTCTATTCATTATTACTGTTCTGAGAATTCACCCCACTTAAACACGTTATATTGTTGTTATGTGCCACTGACTCACTTGTGACACGTAGCAACCCTATGTACAACAGCTCTGAGCTCTGCTCTATCCTGAGCCAACTTTATTGTCTCTGACACACCTACCCTCAAAACCCCAGTCACTGAATCAATCCATCTCATCCAGGGTCTTCCTCTCTTGTGCCGTCCCTCCACCCTCCCAAGCATGATGTCCCTCTCCAAAGACTGGTCGCTCCATGCCCAAAGTATGACAGATGGAGCTTCAGAATCCTTGCCTCCAAGACGCAGCCTAATTTCACCCTCTCCTGGAAGTACTTGTTTGTTCTTCTAGAGTCCAATACCTTTTTCTAGCAACACAGCTCAAAGGCATCAATTCTCCTTCTATGACCCCTAGTGATTGTCCAGCTTTCTGATGAGCAGCAAGTAACTGTGAAGACCATAGCTCAGATCAGGCATATCTTAGTCTCCTGTCTGACACTGTTGCTCTTCAGTACTCTGGAGAGATCCCTGATAGCAGACTTCCCCAGTGCATTTCCTAACACATTGTATAGCCAATCCAAAAAGGAAAGGAAACAATTAAGATGGCTGATTCTGACATAAGCCAAGCAAGAAACAGAACAAAGTTTGGTCTCATTTATAATATAAGTTATTAAAAACTTGAAAAATTAACTTGCATTCTGTAGAGTCAGTACCAACTCATAGCTTACTCTCTAATGGGTTTTCAGAGACAGTAAATCTCACAGGAAGAGATTGTCCATCTTTCTCCCATAAAGCACTTGGTAGATTTAAACTGCCTGCCCTTGGGTTGGCAGTGCAAATCCTTACCACTAATTCGCCTACATGCTCCCTTAAAATTAAAAATTGTATTACCACTTCTATAAAATTTTTCATCTATAGAACTACTGCCAATGAATAATTGCCAAAAGGTTAGTTCTTTTAACAGGAATGTAAAAGTAGTCTGTCAAGCTGAAATCCAGTTTTTCATGGGATATTGATGATCACATGGTATGTATTTGGCTAACCTCTCTTCTTTTGATAACTGGACATTGAATGAGTATGCTCACATACAGATGCTCAACTTGCTTTTAACAATAATCAGTACATACACTTGTGGGAATATTTCTCTGGAATGTAAAAAAAAAAATAGCAGCACATTTTGAGTCACCTGAGTAAGCACAGCAGTGTGCTCAGAACCGCAGCTGATGTGGACCACACCTAGAGTCTTCAGGGCACCAACTGAATGAGGCCTGTAGAGCAGAGCTGTGGAAAGAAAGCCCAATTTCTAAAGTACAAGAAAGAACCTCAACCTTCAACAATGTTAAAAATATCCCATATGATTCATTAAAATAAATTTTAAAAAGTGAACAAAGATCAAAAGTGTGGTTAAATGCACACCCATGTATATTGTGGTTTTGTTCACAATAGCAAAGAGTTGGAAACAACCCAAGAGCCCATCAACAAACGAATGGATAGAGAAGCTCTGGTATAGTCACATGATGGAATACTATGCTGCATTGAAAAATAAGGAACTCATGCAATATTATACAAAATGGGTGGCTCTGGAGGACATTATGCTGAGTGAAATATCTCAGTCACAAAAGGACTAATACTGCATAGTGCCATTTTGTAAAATGGGACTGTCATCTGGGTTGAGGGGAGACTGAGAGAGATGGGATAAACAATGTATACTGCATTGAAACAGATGAGGGAAAGAAATGTTTAAAAGGGATATATAATTAAGTATTATTTTCATGACAGGAGTCCAGAACAAAGGCTGCTTAGTGGAGTGGACTTGGGGGGAGGGATTGTATAACAATGCAAGAATTTTTCTTTTACTTTTCTTTTTTAATTTTATTATTTATTATGTGTGTGCCATCAAAATGGATCTGACTGGTACAGGAGGAGATTGTTCCTCCTTTTCCAGCAGAGCATCTGGTGGATTTGAACCGCATACCTCTGAGATTGTAGTGCAGCTTCTTGCCACCAGGCCACCAGAGCTCCCTAGAATTTTTCTTTTACTTTTTAAAGAGAGGAGCTAACTGGGGGTGATGGGGGTGGGCAGGGAGAAAAATGCAACAATGAATGAATGGAAATCCAAAATCTCTGTAAACTTGCATTATAATTAGCAACAACAAAAAGTGCGGTCAAACAGAAGAAAAGTGCATTAGGGTGGGAAAATCCTATCTTTCAGGATTTGTTTCTGGAAGCTATTAACCTGTAATGTCTTGAAGTTTGGCTTTCATACCAAATTTCAAGAGTTCCATCTCCATTCATGTTATCATAGTGTCATATTTCTGTCATGTGGTTGTTAGATGCCATTGAGGTGGTCTCAACTTATGTACAAGAAAATGAAACTGAAATATAATGGGGTTTTTTTTTTGTAAAAGAGTAAAGATAGATATATTAGAAAGTTACATCCCCAAAGTGACATACCTCCCTCCCTGAAAGGAATTATGGACGGGAGGCTGAAATACTCTGGTTTTGAAGGCAGCTAATAACAAGTCATGAATATTAGAGGAAAACTCACTAACAACCTGCTTTGCACTGATGACACAACTTTGATCGCTGAAACTGAGGACGACTTGAAATGTGTGCTGCAGAAGGTTAAGGACTGCAGCATCAAATACAGACTACATCTCTCTATCAAGGAAAAAAGTCCCTACCACCAGGCCGATTGGCAGCATCATGGTAGATGAAAGGACTGAGGTTTTTAACAATTAAGTCTTGCTTGGATCCACATTCAACACCCTTGTCATCAGCAGTCAGGAAATCAAAAGACAAGTTGTTTTGGGAAAATTGGCCCTTAAGGAAATCTCCAGAGTGCTGAAGAACAACAATATCAGTCTAGAGACTAAAATGTATTTGAAACAGGCCATAGTTTTCTCAATTGCTTGCTATGCATCTAAGAGCTTGACAGTGATTAAATATGAAGAAAGAAGAATTGATGTTTTTGAGTTGTGGTGCTGGAGAAGAGTACTGAACATATCCTGGACTGTCAAGAGAGCAAACAGTCTGTCCTCGAGAGGGTGGCCAAGTTGTTCCTTGGAGGCAAGGATTTTGAAACTCCATCTCATGTACTTTGGGCACGTTGTGAGGAGGGGCCAATTACTGGAGAAGGACATCTTGCATGGAAGGGTGGAGGGTCAACCTAGGAGAGGAAGACCCTGGAGGAGATAGACTGATACTCCTCTGACTGGCAATTGGGTCAGGTGTGTCAGAGACGGTGAGGTATAGGTATAGGGTATAGGGCAAGGTTCAGTTGTTGCTGTTGGTGGGTGCCATGAAGTCAGTTCTTACTCACAGTGACTGTACAGTATGAAACATTCCTTTGTCCTATCAACAATGGCATCTTCACAAGTGTTGCCATTTTGGAGCCCACTGTCGGTCCATCTTACTGAAGGTCCTTTTGCCCTCCCTCTTTACCAAACATTCTGTCCTTCTTCTGAGACTGACCTGTCCTGATAACGGGTCCAAAGTATGTGAGTTGAAGTCTTGCATCCCTCACTTTGCATTCTGGCTGCAATTCTTTTGAGCAGATTTATTTGTTCTTCCAGCCATCTAGGTTTGTTTAATATTCTTTGCCATTGCCATACTTCTTCCAATTCTCCTTCCATCTTCCTTACTCATTTTACTAAAAATACCAGAACTTTGGCCAGGCACACATTAGTCCTCAAAGCTGTATCTTTGCCTTTGAAGTCTTTCAAGCAGCCTTCTGCACATTTGCCCAAGGCAATAGGTTAATGGATTTCTTGATTGCAGCTTCTATGGGTGTTGATTGTGGATCTAAATGAAAGTACATCCTTGATAACTTCAGTCTTTTTTGTTTATCATAGTGTTAGGTATTATTCTTATTATTAGGAAAGAAGTAATGATTTTCTAGAAGAATAAGATTATCTCCTTACCTAAGGCATTCTTGCCACTAAGAGCCAGCTGTCCTGCATTATTGCTTCCCCAACCAAACGAAGATCCAGAGAAAGATAGGGCAAAGCTGTGAGCCCCTCCTGCAGCCACCTGCATCAGTGGGATCCCCTCCAGGGACTGCACCCGCTGTGGTCTGGATTGGGAGGTGAACCCCTTCCCCAGACCCAGCTGACCATCACTGTTCTTTCCCCATGAAAAAACTTCACCATCTATAAAAAAAGAAGAAAAAGGCAGAAAAGTTACCCATCTGAATACAGACTTAAATTCAAGCAGAAACTACCATGGTAATTCTACAATCCTTTGATGAATGAATCAGAGAGAAGACAGGAAATAGAATTCAAGTTTCTGACTTGAAGGCTGGGGAATGAAAAAAGGCACCTTCAAAAGGCCCTCTCACAAAGTTAGAACAAGACAGCAAGAATGCAAACTCAACAGAAAAATGTAATCAGTGGCACTGAACTGGACAAGTTGGAATTGTTGGAATGGTGTTTCTTTGGCTGTGAATAATTTCACCAAAATTGGAAAAGAAAAAGAAATCTCAAAAGACAAAATCAGAAATGAAGGTAATCTAAATAAAATAAGTACTTTAATTTAGAAAAAAAAAACCACAAAAAACCAAACAAACCCAACCCTAACAAATATTATTTCCTATTGACATTCAAGAGACTTCAAAATCACAGAATTTTTTTACCTTGAGATAAAGCCAGGGAGTGGTAATGTCCACAGGAAACTTGTATTATTTTCTTATCAGTAAGAGTGGTTACTTTCCTACAGTAAAAAGAAGACAAGATCTGTTAATCCTTGGTTAGAGTGGATCACCACATGGACTTGTTGTTATGTGCCATCGAGTAGTTTGCGACTCATAGCGACCCTATGCACAACAGCCCTAAACCCTGCTCTATCCTGTGACAACCTCACCACCTCTGACACTCCCATCCCGATTACCCCAGTCACCGAATCAATCCATCTCATA